TTTCTAATTAGACATCGAATGAATTTTTGTTTATCTTATCGCGTCACATTTCTTTCCTTCGATTTCGATCGCTTTTCTCGATTTGCCACTAACACATGTAAATGGATAGGAATCTCTTGAACGGTTCTGCATCCAAGTTTTTTTTTTTCTACCTTGTACAATTCACTCATGTGAAAAATTTAGTCAAAAAAAGAGAAATAACTATATAAATGCACATTAGCTGATGTTTTTCCTAGTTAATTTTCTCGTTCTAATAAGGAACTTCAATTCATTATCTTCCTATCTCTCTAAAATATACGCTAATAGTTGAAATCAAACATAATCGATCATCGCTATTTTATCGTCAATATCAACAATAAATCAATTGATACAACACAATAGGATTTTTTTATAATCCCTGTATCAATGTGAATTATTGAATATAATTATTTTATTAATTAAAAAAATGAGATGGTTATATTTTTTCATATGAAAATGATTTTTTTTATTCACGAATGTTAGTATCATTTGAGATATTAAAGACTTTTTTGTATTGACTATGAATTGATTCTGTAATATTTGTGTAGGCGACGAAAATAAGACCTTTGACATTTTCAAAAAATGTTACAAGTCTTTTGAGCCAGCCCAATGCTTGGTTGGAATGGTCCAACTGAAGCAAGTTTAGGCTCTTCTTTCCACACCTCCGTGATTTCTCGTTGCACCCCATAACATGCTTGAAAGATAAAAATGTCCTTCTGCGTTTTTCAACTTTTAACCCTAATTCCTCACTTTATTCCTCATTTTCTTCTTCCCCGCTTCACATTGATAAACATGGTTAACACATTATGATTACATTTTTAACTACATTTCAAAACATTTTTCAGAATTCTTTCGGATTATGTGTTTCATAGCACATTTTTGGAAAGGGAAATCTATGAGTTTTTTAATTTTCTTTTTCAGAAATGTATTATAGATTGAATCGGAAAAACATCATCCGAAAAACTTATACAAAATATCATTTAAAATTTGTTTGGAAATGTGTATCATAAGTTTTTTAAATTACATTTTTTTAAATGTGTTTCAAATTTGAGAATCAATAAACGTTCAAATTTAGTCTTTTAAAAAATGTGTTCCAAAACAAATAATCAGAAAATTTTCTAAAAATGTTTACGAATATTTTACTTTTTGCAGACATGAAAAAAAAGGTCTTAGACCTTAAGTAAACATGTAATAAATCCAACAAATAATAATCTATTATAATAATAAAACAAAGAAATTAAAAAAAGGGTTAACGATTTATATACGAACAATGAGAGTGGAAGAAGATGAATGAAAAAAAGAAGGTTAATTTTATTTTAATCATGGGGTGAAAAAGTTATAGAGTGAAGAAAAAAGAGTAAGAAGTTTAATAGCATTTGAAATTAATATCCAATGGATAAGGTATTTGAAAGATGAATAATTAGTCAAAAGAGATGGAATATTGTATTAAACACAACCATCAAATTTTTTACTTCAAAAACAATCACAACATTACATTAAAAAATAACAACATGTTGAATTAAATTAAGGATTGCAGTTCTTTTGATCACCAAATTACCATTGACATTGCTTGCACCAACCTCTATCTATTATTGTTTATGCAGGACTGACCTGTAATATTATATTATTTTTAAGATGTATTGTTTTGTGATTTTAAATAAAATGCGTAATATATTCTGTTAGTTAATTAATTTATGATGTCATGATGAATATTTTTTGTTGTTTTCTTTAAAAATTCTAAGAGTTATTTAATTGCTAGTTAACTTAAGTTTTGGTAGTTTACTGGTAAACGAAAACGATGTATATTTTTATCGTAACTTTTTTTTGCAATATAACGTTTTTTTTTCAAGCCTACGAAGCTGCAATTTTTTTCTTGATTTTTTTCTTCAAACTAACAATCACAGGAGACAAAACTTCAAACGAGAGGAATTATCTGTTAGATGATAATTCAGTAGTTAGATAAAATGATTCTTTACATATAAGTTAGTTATTCTAATTAATTATAGTTATGGTTGTAAATAATGTGTTTCTATAAATTGATATACAGTAAGATAGAATCTTTATTGTTATTTTAGCAGTTTTTTTTTATAAGAGTGGTATCAATAATTTTAAGATTATGGAAGGAAAAGAAAGAAAAAAAAGAAAGAGAATAATTACAATAACAGAAATTGGGTTGCATCATAACTTATTAGTGAGCGATAACAAGAACCTGAGTAGATACGACAGTTGGTATATGAACCATTTTTTGTTTTAAAAAAGTCTTAGATGTAGTTTTCAATAGATATGAGGCGTCACCAGATAATTTCATCGAGACATAGTGTACGATATTTTGAGAGACAAAAAAACTTGATTGTAAAACTATGTTGTATATTCTTTAATACGTCGATGAAAGCAACTTTGAAAATATATCGTTGACAAACTCAATGAAAGAAGCGAGATATATTTACAACAATTACGTAGATGTAGAGATATTTAAGGTGGTGCGATTTCAAACTTGCATCAGCAATATGAGTTGTTGTAGATGAGGATGTAAGAAACCACTCAATAATATTTTGTAAGATTGTTGTCAATCACAAATTTTACGAAGTTATGTGGTGAAAGTTTAGAGTGGTGGTGGAGAAGGTTTTGATAACCTTTGATGTTAGGTTCGATATAATTTTTGTTGTTATCGAAGAGTGCAAAAATCTCGATTTGTTAAAATTGGATAAATTACATGAGTCATTAGAGACACACGAACAATGGTTATATGAGAGAGCAAAAGAGAAGTCAAACTCAAAACAAGTACGTTGATGAAATAAAACCAAAAGAAGAAAGGAAATCGAAGAAAATCAAACAAGAAATGTCGATGAAGAAGTAGAAATAATGGTGGATGAGACTCAAAAGGATAACTCTTTATTATCGAAAGGTAATAGAGGAAAAAACTCATGGCGAGATAGTTAATCTGATTCTAGTATGAGCAAGAATAATGTATAATATTACAATTATCACAAGTGTGACCATTGTGTTGTTGACCGTTGGAAAAAAGAAGAAGAAACAAATGTTGCACAGAAAAAATACTTAGAGGATGAAGTATTATTAATGGTGACCACAACGAAACTAGTGAAGACTTTTCGTGAATCTTGGTACCTGGATACTAGTTGTTCAAATCACATATAATTTCAAAAGAGTTGATTCGTCAATCTGGATGAAAATGTAAAATCAAAGATGAAATTTGTAAATAATTCGATAATGAGTTGTAAAGAGAAAGATAAAACCATGATTAGAATGAGAGATGACAAATTTGCAATAATTTTGGATATACTCTATGTTCTAGTCATAAAACATAATATGTTCAATATCGTCAACTTCTTCAAAAATGAAATTTAATCAATTGGAGATCGAGGGACCAGATGTTGAGAATCCTCAACAAGAATGACATACTGACTTTGAAGACATATCTGAGCAAGAACAAAATTTTTCAAGTTGATATTTCAGTACCAAATAACTTGTGTTTTACAACAATAGTTTTTTGTGTGAATTGGTTGTGACATTTGAGGAATGATCGTCTTTGCTTCGATAGTTTTAGCGAACTTATAAAGAAGGAGATGGTGATTAAATTGTCTCTAGTCAAAAAATGTAAAGACATATATGAAGGTTGTATGACAGAGAAACAAACAATAAATCCCTTTAAGGTGCACACCAAGATCAGAAGCAATGATGTGTTGAAAGTATCTACACCGATGTGTATGGACCCTTCGATGTTTCTTCACTAGGTGAAAACACGTATTTTATGACGTTCATCTATGACTATAACAAAAATTTTATAACATTCATCTATGACTATAACGAGAAGATGAAAGTGTACTTGCTCGAGAAAAAGTCAGAAGTATTTAGTCGATTCATCAATTTTAAATTGATGATTGAGAAACAAAGTAGTAAAAATATCAAAGTGTTAAGATCATATGGTAGTGGAAAATATAACAATGACGAGTTTGCATCATTATGCAAGAAAAAACATTATGTATAAGATTGTGCCCTAATACATACCACAACACAATAAAATTAGAAAAGAATAAATTAAACAATTTTAAATATGACCAGAACTATCTTAAAGACTAAAGACATGTCACATTTATTTTAGGAAGAAACAATATCAAAAATTATATATAACTTGAATCGATATCAAAAAAAATAAAAATAAAAAATAAAACACTAAAAATATGTTACGGAGAAAGTTAAATATAAAATATTTCATTGTCTTTTTTCTTGATATTCTTCTTATTTTCTAGATGTCCATTTTTATTAGAGATATGATCTTTTTCGAAACATTTCGTGAAAAAAGAAATTGAATTAAAGTTATTTAAAAACACATATTTTAGTCTTAAAATATATTTTTAAGAATTTAACTTAAAAAAATAATTTTATATACCCAAAATTTAAACATGGAGATTCAATTCAAGATAGAATTGAAAATTTTATATTCTCTCTGTTTTTTTTTTTCTAAAAAGCGAAAATGAAAATACAAAACGACATAGAAGCAGCCGAGCCATCACACCACAGTTCCGAAGAAAGGAACGTTACGATCGCATGAAGCGCGTGCTCGCAAAAATCCCGCTGAAAAAGACTGTTTAGGAAAAAAAAAATTATAGTTTCACTGTGTTTGGATAAGAAAAAAAGAGAAAAGATGAAAATAAAAATACATTTTTTAGTGTTTAATTTACTTATCATTAATTATTAAAGTAAAATTACACACCACTTAATATACGGTAAATAAGCATTTGCGAAGTTTCTATCAAATTTGTGTTAGAAAGTAGTACTATCACTTGATGCATTGTAAAAGTAAGAACACTAAAATACCCTAGAAAATAAAACAAATCCTCCCCCTTCTTGACCCAAAACCATTGACTTGTTCCTCGAACGTTTCGCCTTATTTTCTTACGTTTACCATATTTCATAATTTATTTCTAGCTTGATACGGCAATGTTTGATCTCCATTCCTCCCAATGATGGATTCTCCCTCTTCATCCTCCTCCTCCGATTTTGCTTCCATAGCCACCGCCAATCAGGTACCCCAACTCCTTTTTTTTATTTTTAACTCTTTCAAATCAATCATTTTCGCTGCTTTTCTCTATCTACCTCGAGAATTAATTCAGTGTTTAGGACTATTTTCTTAATCTGGGTACAGCCAGTTACACTCATTTGACACCACAATTAATAACTGCTTTGATGTACTTAATGCAAGAAAGAAAAACATTACTATGACACTCGATTTGGAGTTTCTGAATTGGGTTGTTCTATTGTGAATTGTGATAGAGTGCCTCCCGGAGCGACGGAGAAGGGGCTGCGGCGGAGCAGTCGCGGCGGTGGCACGACGTGTTCTGGTTAGGAATATTCTTAATCCATTTGATTGGGCTGGGGTTCCTTCTGGGAGTTCTTGGTCTGAATAGGTTTGAAAGAGAGAATAGACTTAACATTGACAAGTTCACCTCCCGGTTTTCTGAGAACCAATCCGGATTGACTGAGACTTACTGGCCACTCTATGCTGCCGCTGGTGGGGTTGGAACTGTTCTTGGATGGTGTTGGTTGCTGTTGTTGGGGTCCCAGGCAACTCAAATGATGAAGGTGTCTGTTCACATACTCACCACTTACCTTGCTGTCATCAGTGTTTTGTGTTTCTGGGCTGGCCAGATTTTCTGGGGGGTTGCTTTTGCCATTGGAGCTTTTCTGCAGTTCCTTTATGTCATATCAGTCATAGACAGGTTTGGCTTTTTACATGGTTTACGTTGGTCTGGATTTTATTTGTTGTTGTTACTCAAATTGTGTGTCGTTAACCAATGTGTGGTGATGGAGTTCGGGTCGCTGAAGCAAATGATTTGGAACCTGAATCTTGACTTTGGTGTACGGAGAAAACTTAGTTAGGAGGGGTAAACCACCATACGATGACTTCATATTTCTCTAAGGAGATTAGTATCATTTGTAATCCTAAGTGTATCAGAAAATGTTGTGGGTTGTAGGCAGACATTGACCTTGAATGTTAATATGCTATTATTAATGTTTTGTCTGAAAAGCCGTTTAAGATCTTTCAATCACGTTTAATTTATTGGAATGTGTGAAACGGTTGTTCAAAATTGGAAAAAAACCCGCAATAAGAATACTTGGTTAGTGTTTTGTTTTTTGGGTATCAATTCACTGTTTTTTTAGAATCCTATAAAAGGCGTTTTACCCTCTCGTATAAACAAATGGGACTAGTATAATAAGTTATTATAAGTATGTTGGTTTATCTAAAAGTCAACAATGCATCCTGGTTTAGTTTTCTTCTTTTCCCTATACAGTGAAAGTGGTGGTTGATTGGCATATTTTGTAGGAGAATATCACTGTTATACAATGTCCAGTTTGAATATATTCTTTCTCTGTTTGCCATCAATCCCTAAGTTTTCAATAGTCTCCCGTCCCTGGAAAAACAAACAATCAATTGTTAACTTGTTACATTCAGTTTTTAAAGAACTTTTCTTTGCAAGTCCTCAAAGATTAATGTTTCCAGTTTCTGATTTTGTGGTTAAGGTCTTCTGCTGTTTCTTTTAGCTTTTTTGTTTAATTGATTAAGTCCATTAGATGGTTTATTGTGGCTTCTTTTCTTCTCCAGACTCCCATTTACGATGTTGATTCTGCAAAAGGCTGTGAAGATGGTTTGGAATCTTCCTGAGGTTATGAGAGTGGCATATGCATTTATGTTTGTTGTGCTTTTATGGATGACCTTATGGTCATTTGGAGCTGCAGGTGTTGTGGCTTCAAGCATGGGTGATGGTGGACGCTGGTGGCTTCTTGTGGTGAGCTGGCAAGTTTTGCTCTTCATTCTATCTGTTCTTATTTGAACTAGTTTTGGCATCAGACTAGCTAAACTTTCCGTATCTGATATTGGAATTCATGTTTGCAGGTTCTCTCTATGAGCTTATTTTGGACAGGTGCAGTACTATGTAATACTGTGCATGTTATAGTGTCTGGGATGGTGTTTCTTGTTCTTGTTCATGGGGGTAGAGATGCAGCTTCAATTCCTGCTAACTCCTTAGTGAAATCTCTACAGTATGCTTTAACAACATCGTTTGGCAGCATTTGCTATGGTTCATTATTTACTGCAGCTATCAGGACACTACGATGGAAGGTAACCAATCATTATGAATTTATGACCAGTTTCCTATTCATTTCTTTCATTTATGGAGGGTTTTCGTGTTCACTTTTTCTTCTTTTAAATATTGATTTGTCTTTCAGATAAGAGGATTTCGGTCTAAGATTGGCAATAATGAGTGTTTACTTTGCTTTGTCGATTTCCTTTTCCATCTTGTGGAGACTCTTGTTCGTTTCTTTAACAAGTATGCCTATGTTCAGGTACAATTCTGTGTCCTTGTCATTAACTAGTCCTCTATACGATAGAAATTACTTCTTCTATATGACAATCAAATACAGGAATTTTATAAAGAAGGAATATGTAAAATGCCTGAAATGAGATTCATTGCAGTAACTTTGGTTTTAGCCACCTGTTTTGCTGTTACCCTGAAGTTAGGATCTTTTGTTGAGGTTAATAAGGGATCAATGTGACTTCAGTGCTTCCTAAGGAATTGCCATTGCCAGTTTGTTATCATTTTGTTTTTCAAAGTCGAGGATATAAATAGGTTGAATATCTAGGATGAAGGTCTTTCGAGCTTAATCTTTTGTAAAGATTAAGAATGAATAAATAGAATTTCAATTACCAAAAATTTAGAAAGATATGGAAAAACTCATGCTCTGTCAGCACTCTGCATTACAAGGGTAAAGATAATGCATTTCTTGGAATGACGGCAAGAGAATAACATGGTTTGTTTAAAACAGTTGTCTATTTTTCCATGAAAATTGAGATATAGTGTACATGCATGGTTTGTTTAAAACAGTTTGTTGAATGTATTGGTTCTTGGAAAACTTATTCCCGTATGTTTTTAATGGCCACCTCCCTTTCAGATTGCTATTTATGGTAAAAGCTTTAACCGGTCGGCTAGAGATGCATGGGAGTTACTCCAGTCAACTGGGGTTGAAGCACTTGTGGCTTATGATTGTTCTGGTGCTGTGCTTCTAATGGGTACTATTTTTGGTGGGCTGATAACTGGAACTTGCTCTGGCATTTGGGCATGGGTTAAATGGAGCGACAGAGTTCTTATGATTGGATTAACGTCCATGCTGATGGGGATGGTATTGGTATGTTGAACAATCTCCTGATTTAAATTTTGTTCTGGGTTGGACTACATGTTACTTGTTAAATTTTTTATACTCTAAAAATGGTTAGGAACATTCAATTATTGTCCCTAAACCACTTCTGATAAATTGGATTCATCATTGTGATTGCTTTACTCCTGTGGGTTTTTTCATAAATGAAAAGGCTTGTAATGGTGTCATTGCATGCTGATAATTTCCCTGTAACATGTTGACCATGAAAATTATTCAAACTGTGCAATGTTGAATATGCAATTGTTTTGATATCTATGTATGACAGAGCTAAATTAATGATGACATCCCTTGTATATTACGTTCTGTCGTGTGTTGACTATGAAAGTCAGTCAAAGCTGTATATGATTGACTGTGACTTAAAATATGTAATTAAATTTCAGGTTGGATTGGCAATGGTCGTGGTGGAAAGTGCTGTTACGTCCATATACATCTGCTATGCAGAAGACCCCTTACTGATTCAAAGATGGGATGCTGAATTTTTCAACCAAATGTCTGAGACACTGCATCAGCGACTTCAATACAGGAGTGCTAGAGCAAGGGAAGTTTTAACCCAAAATCGATTTGATGACCTTGTTCCCCAAAATGCACCTATTTGAGGGATCACATTTTTTGGTACAACTACTAGTTACAACACTTTGTTTCTCCATTACATCATGTCAAGCATATTTTTCATTTCGTAGTTTCTGTTTAAATAATAGGAATAGAAGAAAGTCCTAGGTTGCCTTTTGTTATTTTTTGCATCGGAAAGGGACAAAGAGATGTAACATTACGTAGTTGTCTCTGTCTTCAGGTGTATGAATTGATTAGTATAAACTATAAACTACACAATGTACAGTTTCTTTCATTTCTGGCTAATAAAAAAAAACATAGTTACAGAGTATTTAAAGCTTTTTCGGTACGTGGTTTTTAGGTGAATGTCATTGATATTGGTTCGAAAATTCCAATTTCATAATTAACATTTTTCCCACGTAGATATAAATTTTGAAATCGCAAATTTAGATTTTGACGCATTGTAATTGAAGGAATTCAGGGCATTATTTATCTTTTGGTAGAGCATAGAGAGGAGATGGGTTTAGAGATAATTAATATAATTTATTTTGTGGCGGTAGTAAAGACAAAAATATTTTTTTAAAATAGTGAGACTTGTTTCTCTTAATCTATTTATCTCTTATTTTCTATTAAATTGTAGAATTTTTAAAAATATTTTTCTTTATTTCTCATATTTTTACTCAACTAAACATTCGATTTTATTATATTTATCTCTTTTATCTTGATTTATGTTCTCTCTTTTTTTCTCATTTGATCTGCTTAGAACCAAAAAGGACCTAATGTCATGAATTCTGCATTTTATATAGTTTTTAGTTAGTCACCTAAAAGTAATATATATATATATATATATTTATATATATATATATATTTATATATATAAGGTAAGGTTAGTAACAAGTAATTGTCAGTACCACGGTGGGTAATAAAGAGAAATGGATTAATGGACCATGATTTGCTAACTGGTTCGTTTATTTTATACATTTCTTCTTAATACCAATCTTCCTCACTTCGTAATCGTTTATTTATGATTTTTAAACGTTTGAATATCTGATTTTTAAACTCTATTAAAGTATTTTTATATTTTTTATTATTCTAAAAATTACAAAAAATAAGTAAGGATTTTCCGTTATTTTTAATTTATATCAATTTTTTGATCATGTATATTATTTATGCAACAAGATTTTTTATTAGAAATATATTTTTTTTGTCTGAAAATATATTTCGAGAAATAGGTTTTAAAATATATTTTTAAAATTAATTTTTTAAAAATATATTCTAAATTAGTGAGTCTAAAATATATTTTTGGAATGTACATTCCTAATCTACCAGTCTGGAATGAATTTATAGAACATTAATGTGATTTCCTCAAAAGTATTAATAATATGAGTATGAGTAATTTAAGTATAGAAATATATAATAGATATATAATATTTATAATAATTTACATTTAAGTGTGGGAAACAATATCGAAGGATGAGAAAAAAATTAAATATATATATATATATATAAATGCAGAACTTTCACAGGAAAATAGAAAAATTAAAATTTTAAAAAAATTAGTTATTTTATATGAAAATGCATGAAAAAAAGAAGAAGAAAGTCTCGTTGAAGTGAGTAGTGCATGAGAGTCGGTCCATTTGAATGTGACAGTAGATTGCACTTGGAGAGAGAGCGAATATTTGATCTATGTGATTAATTTTTTTAATTATAAATTAATCAAAGTAAGAAGAACAAAATCATAATCAAGTCTGAATGAATAAAAAGGGTTTGGTCCGTGAGCTTGCGGCCCAACCTGTTTGAATAAATTATTACTAACTAATATGAAGTTAATGTTATGTTATAATTTATCTAATATTAAAAATTTTAATTTTTTCCTCGTTTAATTATTTCTCAACTTATAAACCTTACAGCTTTAAAAATTTCAAAGTAAAAATTGATGTATGATATTCATAATCTTAAATGTTAAAAAAAATATAAATAATGTATTTGAATGAGAAATATATAAAAATAGTACTAGTTGGATTTTTGATAACCAAGAACAAGAACAATTTTCTAAACGCACGTTTATCACGGCTCTGGCAGCAGAAGCGGGAAATCAATCGGAAAAAGCTAGAAACCAAAGTACGGTTTATAAGTAATACAACTACGAGACGATGATTACTACTTAGAGATTGTGGTTCAATTATAAGAATTAAAGCTTTCAGAACCAGAACCTTTTGCACTCTCGACATTTTGTTTTACGTTTTTCTTTTCCCTGGGAAGAGAAGAATCTGCTTAATAAAACTGTATTTTGGCTTTATTCAGAGTTCTGATATCTAAGTTGCCCTGCACGCAACACCTGCAAAGTTCTGTGCAATGTTTGAATCCATGATAAGATTGATTCTACTACTTTAGCATCATCACTCTCACAATTTTTACGTGTTTAAAGTATAGTACTTTATATATATATATATATATCAATTCTATATAAACATAATTTAAACGAAAAGTTGTATTTTTTGGTGTCTTATTTGTTGAATGTAAAAATAAAGGAAGTGTGTCTGACGGAAAGCATGCGTGATAAGGTGTAAATGGCGAATAAAATGCATTAATAGGGTTTCCAAATTTAGCTTTAGGGTCTGATATGATATCAGTTCCACACTTCCAGGTTGAGGGCTGAGGCTTGTTTACGATGCAAACGTTAGCGTAAAATACACAAACTTGTTCTGACACACGCTCTAGCCTCAACCTACTACTTGTAATTCTAAAACACTGCTTCTTCTGCTTCTGCTCCTTCTGCTTCATGAGGTTCCTTTCAAGCAAACATTTTGCTTTATTTAACCTTACCTACCTCATAGCTATTAGCAACTTGTAATATTTCACCCTATTTTCTCTCTATCAATCATCTGCTGAGTGACATTACTATTGACAACTATTTTTCAAGCATTCACAATATTAAATTGTTATTGTATCTTTCTGAAGTAGTTTTTTTTTTCTTCATAAATAATAAATGAGAGTGAGATGAGAGAAGAAAATTGAAGGTTTAATTATGGTGTTACATAGCCTCAATCTCATCACCATCCCATCCATCTCAGCATGCACTCCTTTCGATAGCCATAACCTCGCTTTACGTGACATGCTTATTAAATACTACCATCTCAAGAGTTATGTCATGCTGAAATTAATACATCGCTTAATTACGTATCAAGTTATTATAATTTTTCATAATTTCAATCTTTTGAATCTATACACGTTAACTTTTGAGTTGAAAATACGATTTTTTTTTTAATTTACTGTTTTAGCATTTTTATCATCTGGAAAAAAATGGTTTGGCTTGTGGAGGTCGATGTTGTAAATCAAAGCATATTTTATCTATGTTTCAGTCAAATTAAATTATCATATTTTAATCATAAATTAAAGAGTATGAAGTATTTGATTGTAATTTGCATATGTAAAAATTAGTTAAAATAATATAATTAAGTTTTTTAATATATATATATATATATATATATATATATAATTGATTTATCATCTTACATATTTTATCGAACTAAAATTAAAATCATAAAATTTTCAAAGTTCAAAAAATATAATTCATATGTTAAAAAGATTTATTCTACACAATTCACATGTTAAAATGATTATTATAATTAAATTGTGACTCAATCAATCTTATATATAATATATATTAAAAGAATTTATTTAACAAAAATATTTATTTTTTATACCAATTTATGATTTATATATAGTTTTCTTTTCTGTTTTAATAATTTTTTTTCTTTTTTATTTATTATTTGTTTTTTTTCTCTTCTCTTCAACATATTCTTTTAATTAAAATTACTATATTAAAATTTAATAAAACTATGTTAATACATATGTTTTAAAATTAATCTTAAAATTAAAAATATATCAATTAATTATTTAAATTACGTAATATATACTTTTATTTATTACAATTATATTATATTAAAAATATTTTTATTTTTAAATTATATATATAATAATTTTAATTGGATAAATAATTTTTTATTTTAAATATATATAATTTAAAAAATTAATTAACCTAACATTTTAATATATTAAAATTTTAAAATCATACTAATATAATGGTTCATTAACCTCCATCTGCAATAATGAAGAACTTTGTAGATGATAGAGGTTAGGTCGATGATAGAGGTTAGGTCAGAGAGCAGCTACATAGGGCTGAGCTCACAGTGGGAGGGAGTATCCTGGAGCCTCGAGGGAGAGAAGCATGCAGATTGCAGATTGCAGATTGCAGATGCAGAGGATCAATCATGTATTGCAACAGAACACTCCCTATTTATAATAACATTTTTTTTGTCTGAAACATCTGAAAATGTGAAGAGAGATGCTCGAACACTTGTTTCTGTCTTGGTCGATGGACCAAATCGAAGAAGATACCTCTTTCGCCTCCACACACAACCAATTTACACTCACATTCGGCCCCATAAAATGTAATCACATTTTGTATCTGATTAACTTATTATTATTTGACAAATTTAACGACTTTTAATCAATATTAGAAAATTTCAATTTTAGTTCTTTATTTCTTTGATTGAAAGAAAAATCCATGGGAGTTAGAGGAAGAAAAAGTAAGAATAATACACTTTTTGTTCCAGTATGAAACCACCGATCACTGCTAAAGACAAATTTTTTTGATACCTTACAAGAAGTTAGGACAAGGAAAAAGACGAGAGAAGAGTATATAACGGACAGAAATAGGTAAAGAATAATATTGTAAAAAAGGGTTATACAAATTTATGTTATGAATCATGTAACTCATCACTTCACTTTTATTTAGATGTGAAAGAATTATTATTTTTTTTTTCGAATTGAAGTTAGTAAAGACAACATTTTAATTTTTCTTTTTTAAAGTTAAATTTCCCCTATTATTTTCCGTCATTCCATTCATTTTAAAAGCTGTATGAATAAAATTACTCAAAGAAAAATTGGTGCTTGAAATGTGCCGTACTGATGCAACACTACTCCACTACACTCTTCTTAAAGCTTCGTCCAACACTTTATGCCTCGAACTGCATTTCCATATTCTCTTCTGCTTCCACTTGTTTAACACAAAAACATCTCTTCACCATGATTCATGCTTCCTTTGCTAATCACTTAGCTTAGAAAAAATGCAAAGCTTCAATCCAACCGAATCAGAATCAACCTCACCACTCTATTCCCATTCCTCCTTCTTTCACCGGTAAATTACACACTACTTCTATTGCTAAATGAGCAACGGAAGCTGAAGAACCACTCTATGCAGCAACCAGTGCATGTCTTTATTTATTTCTTTATCTGTTTATCTTTTGGTATTACAAATAAAAAGTTGTGTTAGAGTTTCTCTGTTCTGAAACAGGGGAAATGACACCAGCCGAAATCCCACGCGTTTCTCGGATTTTCAGCATTCTTTTCGACAGCTCGATGCTGTTGATTTAAGCTCAAGTTAATACTCTCTTTCTCTCTGTCTTCACAAATATATGTATAATGGTTCCTTCTCGGGTAATAATTTTAATATTTAACTATATCCTATGCAGGTTCTGTGTTTGGTGCAAAGTCGAACAATGTGGCTGTTATTGCAAGCAACTTGCAGTGTGGGGCATTCGACACGGTACTAGTCCTTTCTCTCTCTTTTTCCTTTTAAGGTAGATATGCTTTGTGCACGCGTGCCTTATCTATTTTGGGTTCGAATGAAATGCAATGTTTTCATAGAACCTTGGAGGTGCAGAGTTTGCTTCGGCAGTTGGAGGGAGTGTTGAGACAGAGCGGCAACACATGTATCAGAGAGGAACAAACAACGCCACCATGTCCATGGGGAGCCAGTATGTTGAGAAATGGGCAGATGATAGCCAACACACTGAAGATACTTGCACAGACATCGACACCGATGACAAGAATCAAGTGGGTCTCTGAAATTTCTTTGGCATGCTGTTGCTGTTGGAAATGGAAAGCCAATATACTGGCTAAAATGCATTTTTGTCACTAACTTTTATTTATAATTTTGGATCCGAAAGTTGAAAATTTTGGTCTCTAGATTGTTTCCTTAGCTTAATTAGGTAATTACCAGTTTATCACACCTAACTTCATCAACTTGACTTCTGAAAGATACCACCTCAATTAGATGTTTGACACAACATAAATGTTGTGGAAAAAGATTATAGGAGGACTGATATTGTTTATCAGTTATACTGAACGGGATAAATTGAAACTTAATATATAAAGTTGAAGCCAATAGAGTAAAATTTGTGAGTAACAGTGTATTTTAGCCTATATAAATTTCTTGGCATTTGGAAGTGATGATTTGAATTGCGGGTTTAATGTTTTTTGCTTTGTTTACAGTGTTTTTCAACCGTGTCTTGGGGCAATGGAGTTGGGGACGGGGCACTTGTAGTCGTGGACTCCCAGGATCAAAGTACAATTAAAGCTGAAGACCATAAGGTTGTTTTCTACTTGCTTCTAAATCTTGTGCTTACTATTTCCTGTTTCGTTGCTGATAGCTTTATTTTTGTGGATGTCTTCTGTTAGACTGTACGTAGGCTAGCTCAGAATCGGGAGGCTGCAAGGAAGAGTCGGTTGAGGAAAAAGGTAAATTGCTCATGGGAGAAGTTTTCTTATAAATAGTTATATCACTAATAACTTAGTGAGATGTTTATTCCAATTGGCTCCAAGTTGAGCAAGTTATTATTCTCATGCTTCTTTATTTTAGTTGCATTCCTTGTTTCTATTTTTTTGTTTCTACCAATGTGTCTCAATCACTAGGAGAGAATTTAGAGGTTCATATTTCAGATAAGTCTAAGATTTATGCTAATGGAATATATTTGATTCATTTATATGGTTTGGTCATGAACAGGCATATGTGCAACAGTTGGAGAACAGTCGAGTTAGGCTTGCACAATTAGAGCAAGAGGTTCAGCGGGCACGTCAGCAGGTGTATGAAGTTAAAGGTTTCTGGTAGATAATTTGCATTCAACATAATTTTGTTGTTATTCTACTTGCTATTTTTTTACGGGTTGCTACGTTCTCCAGGGTGTTCTTATTGCAACTGGAATCTCGGGGGATCGCGGTCATTCAGTTGTTGGAAATGGTAATGAAAAAGTTGATTATTCATTCATAGTTGCAGAACATTTTAGTAGTATTGATAAACTACGTTACTGTTAACATGGCATTAATTTATGTTTGAAACTTCATGCATGTTTTAGGAAGAAGCAATATGGCTGATTGTACATACAATTTATATATAACAATTGGAAAGATAAATATAATAAATAGAATTTCACTTGATATTGGTATAATCCTTGCAATGGCATCCTCAAATTAAGATACATGGATAACTATAGAAGGGAATTTGAATTTGTGATTATTATTTCGGGGTCTCCTTCGGACAGCTAAAAGTGATTACTAAAACATTTTGCTTAATTTTATGAGCTCAAGTTTCATGCTGAGTATGCTTAAGTTTGTTGGGATTTGAGTATTCTTACAGTGTAGAAGGGATTTGAATATGTGACGGTTTTTTATCCTTCAGGCGCGTTAGCATTTGACATGGACTATGCCCGTTGGGTTGATGAGCATCAACGGCTGATCAATGACTTAAGATCAGCTATAAATTCTCGAGTGGGTGATAATGAACTGCATCTTCTTGTTGATGGAGTCATGGCACATTATGATGAATTATTCAGGTTGAAGAGCATAGGGGCTAAGGCTGATGTATTTCACATACTTTCTGGGATGTGGAAGACTCCTGCAGAAAGATGCTTCATATGGCTTGGTGGATTTCGTTCATCCGAACTTCTCAAGGTGATCGACCATTTCAGTTTCTCAAATTTGGTTCTGTAGAGTATATATTCTGTTTAGTGTTGATAATTGTTGTGTGCACATTTCTTTTGAGTTTCAGATAGTTAGAAACCAGCTTGAGCCATTAACAGAAGAGCAGTTAATGGGCATTTACAATCTGCAACAGTCTTCCCAGCAGGCTGAGGATGCATTATCACAAGGCATGGAAGCATTGCAGCAGTCTCTTTCAGAGACACTTTCGTCCTCTACCCAAGGACCCTCTGCTTCTGGAAATGTTGCCGAGTACATGGGCCAAATGGCTATTGCATTGGGCAAGCTTGCCACACTAGAGAGTTTCCTTCATCAGGTATCCCAACTAATCTTGGTCACTGCTGAAATCTAATTTTTAGTATTTGATTACAACATTATAGTTTTTATTTAATAATACAAAATTCAGATTCATTTGTAGGAGTTAATTTCTATGTACTATTACTTCGCTAATTTCATTACTATAAAAACCTTAAGAGATTTATGTGTTTTTGTATTATGTTTTCTTTCTTAGGCTGATCTCTTGAGGCAACAAACTCTGCAACAGATGCGTCGAATTTTGACCACGTTCCAAGCTGCGCGTGCACTCCTCGTCATAAATGATTACGTTTCACGACTCAGAGCTCTTAATTCGTTATGGTTAGCGTGCCCTAGAGAGTACTAGGAGCTGCCCACACTCGGAACGCTCCTTGCTTCTCGTCTTCTAATCTTATCTGCAAGTTGCTTTACTGCATCTTCATCTGTAACGTTTTTAACTCTTGAAAAATCTGTATATTGTTGACATGTTCAAGTGGAATTTTTTCTAGTGTTATGCGTACAAGTAGCAACACCTACTCGTGAAAGCAAATCATTGTCACCTTTCCTCTGAGAACATTCCAAACAACTTCTATAAAACATGACTTTATTGAAAGATATGATCATAAATCATTTCATTCCCTTATCCATTAATACAAGAAAAATAGGAAGCTCTACATTTAAATTTCAACAATATATGTCGTTTTGTTTTTCATCTAATAATAGAAAACAAATTTACATTAAACAACTTGTCATATTTTGTTTATTTTCTTCCCTATAATAAAACTATACGATTTGTACACGCATCTTTATCAATAAAGTTGAACAAAAGTCATCGTATGAATGAACAGGCAAACTTTCTACATACTTTTCACCCTTTTTATATACTGCAATTTCTCCACTACTGAATCATCATCATTGTATCCTATGATCAAGCAAGCAACGATCTTCAATTTCCATTAAATATAATTTTTATCCTACATTCTTCAATCCTTGTTTTCCACTGGTCTATAGATTTTTCTCCTGCTATTCATTTTTCCTGCAAAGAATCAATAGTTTAACACTGATCAAATATTTATTTTTCTTCAAGCGATTTCATCATATGTAAACTAGTGATGCAGATAAACCAAACTCTACCTGGTCTTTGGTTTTTCCTAGATGCCACTTGGGGAATGAACACTCCAGTACCTTTACCATTCTTCCACAAGTTCACTAGCCAAAGGGGTGGTGAACCAGACCCATTTCTTTCCCACAAAGAGAAACTGCTTGCAGGTGGAGATCCGCAGTTAAATCTGTAAACTGGCCTGTTTGAGCCACCATCAGTGACATTAACTGGATTGAAACTTCTTGTTTCTAGAAATTCTTCGTTGTCTTCTGATGTCAACAACAGAATCTGCCTCCTAATTTCAGCATAGAAAGTATCCTCTTCATATTCTGCCTCAGACATAACACCAGGATCTGAATTCATCTCCATGATAACTTGAATTGTAGGCTTGGGTTGCTATAAGAGAATGATGAGTTGAGACGTAAAAATAAATGGGTGTAGAGGTTTATGTATAGATGGATGAATAAGAGAGAAAAGAGATTAGTTTGAGGTCAGTGTTGTGAAAGTAGGAGTGTGTAAATCTGATATTCGATAGTGTCCAAGTTGGAAGAATATGTCCATTTCGTACGTTATCAAATGTCCGCTACTTTAAATCATATGATGCAATCATTAAATCTATAAGCCTAATCAAATGGATCAGAACACAAGACATTTGGCAGTTACTTTCTAGCGACATAAATGGTCGTTTTTCATCACCAAACATCACCGTCACCATCACCATCACCCATGCTTATGGTTTGGGTTACCTTACCATTAAAATTTTAAAATATCAATTTTTGCAATGTAATTTTCATAACCCCCAATTGTTTGTGATTCAAGTATTGCAAGACGTTAAATTAGAGTATCTTATTGGTGTTGCTTCACTTCTTATAACTACCGTTAAAAAGGTCAATCTTATATGCTGATATTTTTTTTACACTCGATGTGCTGATATTTGGATTAGTGAAACTCTTATCACACTGTCATAAATAAACAAAACTTTTGCTCCCACGATATTATTGTATTCAAACTAGGACTCTGCATATTTATTATGATGAATAGTATCTCAACACGAAGCACCCACAACAAATGTGCCACAGATTCTGGCAACATAATGATTTAATTTATAATAATATTTTAATAAGAGACATTCACAGGGTATTGTATGAACACTTGTTTATGATGATTTTTAATGAAACAAAATATTATTTACTAGTATTTTGTAATCATTGTTCTTAATTGGATGTTAAGAAGGTGGAATGATTGAGGTGGCAAAGGGTGAGACAGCTGTTGGCAGAAGATTGTGATGGACAATTTTTTCTGTGGGTCATCTCAGATTCATTCTTGTTGGGTTTGGCTACCATCAATCCAATACCTAAAGAAAATAAAGGATTGAAATAAATATTTTTATTATGGACTCAAATAAACAATATATAGTATTTGATATATGTACGTAATCATTTTTTAAAATTATATTTTCATCTTATACTTATCCAAACATTTTTACTAATACTATTATGTCAACAATCTAGTTTTAAATGTAATCTTTTTTTAACAATTTAAGTTATGAATTGCATGCTTACTCAGACGAGACGTTAATTTCTTATTCCAAATTTCTAGTATTAACATTTGTTTTTAGTTTTTTCTTTTAACATAAATATCCCGTTCTAAGATTTCATCTTAATTGGAGATAAATAGAGTTGGATCAAATAATTTTTTTTAAAGATCAAATATATATTAATTTTTCTATGTATTCAAAATGGATAATAAAACCAGGTCAAACTAATAATTGAACGAGACATATAATAAAAGAATATTATCTAATATAATAAAGATAAAATATCCTACAATTCATGATCTTCGATAAAGTTGAATACAGAAAAACAAAAATATTGATGCTTATATGAATAATGTGATATAAATGATTTTCAATGAAAATATTTTAAATATAATAGTAACTTAGTTGTAAAACTTATAAAAATAACTTTGTGAATAATGTTGAACACATAATAATTTAGAAATTATTAATTAATATTTATATCTCTCCATTTCAGCTGTTACTATGGCTCTCAGAATTACATTTATGATCACCATTGTTTCTGAAGGGACAATGTTTGTTTTTATTAATCAGGGAAAGTGTTTGAAAGTAACCTACATGATCAAATTATTGGAATTGAAATGATTTCTCTAAATGAAAATGTAGGCCATATTTTTGTCTATTTTATCTGTGGGCCATTGCAGTGTCAGTTTTTGTTGGGCTTTTTGATATCAATATTATCTAAAAAAAGATTCCCTTCTACGACCCAAACAAATCCAGCTGAGTATAGTGAAATAAATCATTAAGTTATTTTTTGTTTACATATTTTAGGATTCAACCAAATAAAGCTATTTGATGTCTTTTATATCTTCTAAAATCTTTTGTTTTTATATCTTCTAAGTTTATATATTAATTTAATGTCAAGTAATAAACTATATATAAATATTATATAGAAGTTGTTAACTTTGTATATTATATAATGTTATTATTTTTTCTAAATTGTGTTTATTAATTAAGATAGGGATAAAAATAACCTGTTTCTAAAATTTATCTCCATCAATATCCTTCCAATAAAAAAGTCATTATATAATTTAATTATCATTATTTTTGTGAAATAAACAGACTTAGAGACAAATAATTTTAATAATTTTTCACTGAATTTTTAGGATAATTATCTTGAGGTAGTATAGTATATCATCATACAAACACTAAGTATAAAATGGGATTTTTACTTCTGATGTTTTAGTATTTTTACGTCAAAAACAATATGACGCTAATATAGGACATAAATTTAGGTCGAACAAATATAATTTACATTCAATAACATATCAAATATAAATTTATGTCAGATATATTCCTGGTTTAATGTAAATTTTGTTTTTTTATCTTACAGTGAGTCAAGTCTAGATTTTAATGGACAATAATTAAAAAATATAATAATACAAATAATAACCTACAAACTAAGTAATAGAAATATTGAACGAAAATCCTTGTTCATTGTTGTTTAATTTGTGTAATATCATTTTCTGATAGTGGAAAAGAATGAATCTTGAAATACCTGAAACATTAATTTGAATCTTGTTGAAAGCAATGTTATTATCGGACACATAAAAGTAAATGAACTTCACAAATGTTGAGTTATACTCGAACAAACTTAATATCGGACAATTACCTTCGTCTAATAGTCAGTTATACCTACACAAACTTTTCTTTACTTTTTTCTCTTCGTTTTCATATGTTGTCCGTCTAAATCTGACATTGGAGTAAAAAATTATCCTTCTTCGAACATTTTTTATTTTCTTTTCATCATCATAAAACCATAAACTCTATATACTATAATATCTTCTTTTCACATCATTACCATATTATAATTCAAAATACAAATAACAAAAAACGTAGAATTCAAACAACTAAATCATAAAAATATAAAAATGTAGTTTATAAACCATAAATCCACTCAAACACATAAACATATAATTACAAATTATAACAATAGTTCAATTTCAATAACAATCCAATGAAGACGTTCAATTTCAATAACATTATTAAGATCCCAAAAATAATCACAGATTCAAAGATACATATATAGAACACTAACCTCAAGTATACAAAAAACACTTTAAAACTCAAATTTAATAGGAAAGAAATGTCAACTACTAATGGGACACAATATAAGTATTTTCATCACTCACTGTGATCGAAATGTACTTTGAGAGAAGAGCTGATTTGGTCACTGCCACAAGAAAATCCTCTCACGCTAGAGGAAAAAAGAAATCATAAAATGATTAAAACGCGATTTTTACATCGAACCTCGTAAGAATTGACGTAAAAATCGTTTTTTATGTCGGTTAAGGAGTCGCCAACTTAAAAAGTAACTTTTACATCGACCTCTAAAAAGTCTAACATAAAATGAACGTAACTTATTTATAAAAATAATAACGCATTTTTTTAAGTAGGTTATTCTTAAATTTAACAAAAATTGAGGAACATAAAAAAAAAAACGTATTTTACATGTAAGAAGGAATTATAATTCTAGTTGACAATTTTATTATTGATTAAAATAAAAATATTATTATATAAGTCACAACCAATAAAAACAAATAAAGAAGATTTAATTTCTGGACAAAGCACATTAATTGTGAAAATTGGATTTTAATTTTGAAAATTGCAGTTTTGGGCATTATGGAAGTCCTGACAAGTTGTTCCACATTAGGAAAGCTGATTCTTCAGTATCAAACTTTCATCTCTAAAATGGCATTATTCCGCCATTGAAAATGAAAAAGGAAAGCTACAGAAGATGCATGTATATGTAACTCAAAATACAAGCATAAAATGAAAAAGACTGGCAATAGGGTCTGACTTTGAGTGCTATATTGAAGTCCCAAGGATATTGGGGTTCAGTGAGGAGCAAGTTCAATGGACATCCTGAAAATGGGTGACCCTCCATACTTGGATGCTTTGTGACCCTAGCTATCAATGATCACAACCACAAACTATCTTCAATTATCACTCTCTATGAAATATCTACAATGCTTTACATTAATTCAACTTCTAATGTGTCGTGTCTCCAATATTGTTCCTGAAATGATGCCTAATGGGAGGCAACCTAAAGTTAGCCCCTAATGCTTGTACGCCACTAAGCTCAGTTGCTTCTTTGAAATGTCAACAATGTCATGCTTCTCTGTGATTCCTCAACAGAAGCATAAATAGTTGGATTTTGACATTCTTTTTCGTCTTATTTCTCTGTACTCAGATATATCTTTAGTCTTGGTACTCAAAAGCATTAACACTTGATGTTGCTTTGAATTAAAACTCACTCTACTGTCATATTTAAACTACTGAGGTAAGCAAACATAACGAAAAATTGAGTTTTAGAGAAACAAAAGGAAGTCTCAGAAGGGAAGGTATCCAAACGATTACTCAGATATGCTCGAAATCGTTACAACACATTTGCTTCTTGAATAATTTGAACTGCAAAATACGATAAACTCGTAAATATGAAAATTTAAGTAAAAAAATATTACATATGCATACTTACATGAACATGGCTCAAGTACTGTGAGAATGAACCCTATAGAAGTAAAAAATGAGCGTCTGGCGCGTAATCATGACACATCCTTTGGAAGCATTCTCATTCTGTTTAATTAAGCTGCTTATTGGGTAATTTAACAGTAATGTCTGCACTAAAACTGACAAAATGGATTATTAACTAACCTAATGTCGGTAGTAAAATACTAATAAGACTTTATCTTTTTCAATCTCTTCACAGATTTTTGAAGTTAAGCCTGGATTAAATCGAACTTAAAAAGAACTCACGTTTAAGTAATTTAATTCAAGTTAAAAATGTAAAGTGAGACCCTACATTGCATTTTATCAAGTTAATTGGTCTACGTTGCAGCCTCTGACACGAACCAACCAGCCACTTTCCTAAAACTTGCTCATAATTCAGCCTGATGGTGTCCCTTTTAGGTTGATGCTTCCCCTTTAGGCAGTGAAAGGGACGAGTTATCAAAGTTGGAGGCGCATTGAGAAGAATAGGATGACCCTCCACATGTGAATTCACGTGGAGACAGGTGTCGAATTCCTCAACTTCCAAACAGGCATGAAAACATTCATTCATCCTTTTCCCCACTCCTACTGTGCCCTTTGACCTTTTCAATTCCACTCACTTTCCCGTGTATATAAGCAAACCATAGCATAAGGTTGTAAAGTGCAAAACCAGTCACCGCAAGTTTATTCATTGCATTCTTAACTCCTTGGTTTCTTTCTTTTCTTTCAGCCTCTTCTTACATAACAAGAAGAATAATGGCTACTCTTACCTCAAATGTAAACCTTAGTCCACAATACACTGCTCTCAAAGACTACAATCCACCTCATGGTTGTGTAGTTGAGGAAATTGCAGGGCTTATTAGAGTACACAAAGATGGATACGTGGAACGACCACAAGTTGTTCCATGTGTCACTGCCAGTACTATGAGTTCAGAGCTAAACGTGACATCTCGAGACATGGTCATTGACAGTGCCACAAACACATGGGCACGTTTTTATGTTCCAATTTGCCAACACAGGTTACCATTGCTCGTTTATTTTCACGGTGGAGGCTTTTGTGTTGGGTCAGCAGCATGGAGTTGCTACCATGATTTCCTTGCAAGGCTATCTGCCAAAGTGGGGTGTGTGACTATGTCAGTGAACTATCGATTGGCCCCAGAGAACCCTCTTCCAGCTCCCTATGATGATGGATTAAAGGCCCTAATGTGGGTGAAACAACAAATGCTATATCAGCAACACAACAAGGGTAGTGGTAGTAATAGTGAATGGTGGACTACACAGTGCACCTTCTCTAGTGTCTTCTTAGGTGGGGACAGTGCTGGTGCTAACATAGCCTACAACGTTGCCACAAGGATAGCTGCATGTGATGGTGCTGCTTTAAGTCCTTTGAATTTGAAAGGTCTTATTTTGATACAACCCTTTTTCGGTGGGGAAGTGAGAACAAGTTCTGAGAAATGCATGGCTCAATCATCGGGTTCTGCTTTGAACTTGGCAGCATCTGACACTTACTGGCGCTTGGCGTTACCTTGTGGTGCGAACCGTGACCACCCGTGGTGCAACCCTTTGGTGAAAGTGAAGTTGGAGGAGTTGAAGCTCTTGCGTACCTTGGTGTGCATCTCGGAGCTGGATATATTGAAGGATAGGAACTTGGAGTTTTGTGATACTTTGGTGAGAGCAGGGAAAAGGGTTGAGTATGGAGTGTTCAGAGGTGTTGGACATGCGTTTCAGATTTTGAGTAAGTCTCAGGTAGCCAAGAACAGAACTAAGGAAATGATTGCTCGTGTTAAGTCCTTCATGGCTCTCTGATTCTCTGTTTTACTCTTCTAGTCTCTCTGTGTACATAAAATTAATTAAAGAAAATACTGGCTATTGTAAATTTCTAAACTTCAAGAATGAATGAGATTGTATATATACACTTATCCTCGGTTTAATTTGAAGTTGTGGCATTTATTTTAAGTAAAAAAATGATAATTTTATTATAAATTATTGGTATAGTTTTCTAATTACTTGGTTGCATACCTATTATTTATGAATAAATAATATTATTTTAATATAATTCTCATCAACACAATTACTTAAAATTGATATTGAGACATTTACAATAATTATTTATCAATAAAAACATTATTTTAAGATGAGTTCGAACTTATGAATAATTTAAAATTAAAGAAAATTATTCACTTATTTTTTTCTTTATAACAACTTTTTCCCTTCTAAATAATTCTTGAAAATAATCCCTTTAAAATGTTCTTATATATATAGTTTTTTTTTTAATTTTAAGAAATCATGTGACATCCATGCTAACATTATATTTTTATTATCAATATCAAGTAATTTTTATAAGAGTTATCTTTTTAAAATGCCTAATGCTTTTATTCCTCGATCCTAAATTATTTAGGTTTTAATTTATTTTAAGTTGGAGATGTTTTAAGAAAACTAAAAGTGAGTTGAGTCTAATTCTAGGATGATATACTGATTTTGCAGAGGTTTCTTCCTTTAAAATATCCGCATATAATTGTGTCTGGTGAAAAAATTAAGTGAAAAGTTACGTTACGATAATTTAACTAAACTTGTTAATGGACATGAGAAAATTCATTACTCGTTGATTGCACCGAAAGTGAACTATAATCAAACAATCATGGTTTAAATAAAAAAATATTATTGTGAAATTGACTCTCATTAATTTGCACTTCTAAAGTTGAGAGTTAAGCTTACAACTATGACTGTCACACTGTTTAACCAAAGACAAAGAAAGCCTAAATTGAAAATTGTTGAAAGCATATAAAAGTTATAAATTCTGACAAATACTATTGTGTCTAGTTTTAGTTTCCAAAATTTTAGGTTATTCTTTAATCTCTAATATTTCTAATTGTTATTACTAGGAGATAGTTTGTTTAATACGGATTACTTCCTTTCCGACTCTTATTACAAGATAATAATTTTAACAAAATTACATAAATAGAAAAATAATATTATTACTAGAGGAGCAACTAATAAAATGGATAATATTAATTAAAATAATTTGATTAGTCACAAAATGTAATTAAGTAATGTATGTTTTATCTTATACTTGTAAATTTGATCCATAGAGATCAATGTTAAATACAGAATTAATGACAACTTCCAAGTAACGAAGAAGCTTTAGATTCTGTTATCCTTTAACGTAGATGATAGATTATCTTAAAATTGTGTTTATTTTTTTCTTATAAATATAATTAGATAAACCTTACCTAATTACTATTATGAATAATCTTATCATATTTGATAGAACACGATGGTCGATCTTTTTGAAAGCTTGATGGACTGCCAAAGTTGAATCGCATGTAATTTATGACGTCTTTAAATTTAATGAATATTTGCATGTAATTTATGACTTTGATTCCTTTAAATTTAATGAATATTTAATATATTTATTTGTATATTTATAATTTTATCCTCTCAACCCTTCCTCAGTTTTGTAAGTCTCATATAATTTATGATTTTGTCTCCTCTAACTTAATGATCATTTAATATATTTAAGTATATATCTACAATTTTATCATTTTATCATTTCTTCTTCTTTGTTTTTTTTTATATTTATTTATTAATAATATATTATTTTACTAGGAAAGATCCATTGTCCCTGCCACCCTAATCTAAAACTTGTCAATAATATAGAATGACAATTTCCATTTTAGAAAGATGCTTTCGAAGTAGGCCAGGAAAAACGATGGATTCTCAAAATTGGAGATAACTCTTCCCATGTGAATTCACGTGATGATGTGTGGCAACATTTCACAATCACTTGTGCTGGACTTTCTCACATCAGAAAAGCTAAATTAATAGTTGATTATGAACCATTAAAGAAAATTCATTGATTATTGAAAGTGAAGTATAGTTAGAAAGAACTATCAATAATTATTTAAATTTAGATCACTGATACGTAAATCCACTGAAACATATTACTGTAGATTAATTAGTGATCTTAATTTTAAAATTTTGTTATAACTTTATTCGACTCAAACAAAATTCGTAAAAACATTTCTGTTCTATGCATAAAAAATTCACGAATTATTATATTGAGAAAGTCTCTAGTTAATATCTCAACTCAACTACGCCCGTAGAGAACTAATCAAGGAAAAAGAAATCCTCGGGTTAGCAAATGTTTCGAATAATACTTATAATATCACTAAAATATTAAACCGTATCATAGAATACTTAATATAAAATATATGTAATTAAAATATATTTCTAAATCATTTATAGATATTTATTAACTATATTCTTATATTAGTAATGTGTTTATTTTGACTAAGATTATCATCAATAAAAATAATTTTAAAAAATTATTACATTAAAAAATATATAAAATAAAAATTTATAATGCCTTCAGTAATTTATTATTGATTTTACTTTATTAAAATTTTTCTTAATAAATTTTTAAAAAATCATTCTTTCTTTTATTTTTTTTATTTGTTTTGATTTGATTAATTAATTGATTAAACAATTATAAAAAAATTAAACACTTAATATTTTATTTAACAACATCTCCAATAAAAATTACTAACTTAAAAATAAAAATAAGATTAAAATAAATATTTTATTTATAAATCTTAGAAATTTAACTTTCACTAATAACTCCATTGAACATATCCTAAACATCTCAATAACATTCTAAGTAACATTAGATTCGTGAGGGTAAGGATGAATCCTTAATCCCAATTAATTTATTTAATACCGTAATAAAAAAATCATTTCTTAACGTTGTTTTTCTAAAAAGTCGTGTATAATTTGTAGTATTATTTAATTTAATAGAATCACCATTTTCCTCCCCCCTCTAATAATTGGACTGGGTTATGTTCTTTCTAATCGAGTTAAGTCTTTGAAGTTACCTGTTTCACGTCTGCTAATATTTTGTTTTTCATTTTAATTTATTTAGATAAAATATTAAAAATGTTTGAAATCCTTTGAATTTTCAAATGGCTGACTATCTTGTTAATAAATACGACGATTAAATGTTTAAAACAGTACGATGAAACAAATAAAAATAATCCATATCCCAATGGGCGCCAGTGCCCTAATTAAAATAAAAAAACCAGAGAAGGGTGTGCTTAGACAATGTTTGAAACATGCAATTCATTGCCTAGAATTACAACAAGGAACAACAACAAAGAATCTATAAAGATACAATCAAGAAAAAAGACAAAAATATATGGAAATTAGCATATAATGGAACATCAATTGTCAATCACTAGTACTCACAGATAAATAACCATTCAGCTATGACTGAAAATCACTAAATATAACTATGCAGTGTTACTTACGATAGTTGGAAATAATACATCTCTTCTTGACGTTTTCAACCTAAATGCGTGTTGAACCATTCCTGCCTAGCTAGACATCATGACATGATCAATTGCCTGTAGTGCTTGGTTAGAGAAAAATCGCACATCAACATCAGGATCCTCACTGAGCTCAACCAGGCATGGACGGATAGTTTTCTCCACCACCTGAATGGCAACCATGTTCACAGTGAGAGTCGAAGACAAACAAAGATGAATAGAGGGCGGAAACACAAGTATGATACTTACAGACTGATCAACGATGGGGAAGATGGATTCCAATACCTTCGCCACATTGAACTTTATGTTGGGCACTCTATAAGGGACAAAATGGAAGCAAATAGGAATCAGAACAACTGTATTAACACGTCCACTATGGCATATACCCAGCTTGCATAAGGTAAAACAAAATACCTGTCTTTTGAAGCAGCAACAACCACCGGTAACAAGTTTGAACACGTGATTTCGGGCCCCATTACAGGAGCAAGCAGAGAGATAGCACGAAGAATAGTCATCCGATACAAATAGTGTGGGTTGCTGCTCATCTCCAAAACCTGTTCCACAAATTCAAGGATATTACTAAAGTTGCTTTTAGGAAAATAGAAAAGATAACAGCATTTTGAAAAGAAACATTTTAATGAAAACTATATTGTTCTGACCCCGAATAGTTAGGATTCTAACAAGCCCAGAAGACAACCTTTCAGTGAAAACTCGGTAAGGGCAGGAACTTCGCTATATCTGGTTAAACATCAGACTCCAAGGTGCTATTGAATTTAGACCAAGTCAACTCAACCCTAAAAACTAGCTTTGAGATAATAATTGTTCAATCCTTACATCAATGGTATTTATAGTCAAATGTATTATCTCAACACACTCCCGCATGCCCATGATTGAAATCTTGAGCAAGAACATTATAGGAATAATTTTGTATTATTGTATTTTGCACCCGGAAAGCTGTGCAGAGCCGGGTTGGTTTTTTATTTTGACAGTTGAGAGTGGCCCGGTATTGGATCTATGATACGCTCCAGTATCATCTTGAATTTGGGCCTGGTCTAACTCCATCTCAAAAAGAGGATTGTACATGCCCTTGTAAGCCCTATTTTAATCATATCTAAAGTCAATGGGAGATATCAGTAGAGGCCAGAAACATGCACAGATCTATGCATTATTGAATTTAAGCTTACTGTATACTTGGACAAATATCAGGACTCCAAAAACATCTATGGAGGCCAAATAAACACATGAAAGATAAAATCTGTTTTACTAATTTTAGCTACAGTCCAGAGGTGAATTTGCAAAGTTCATGACTGATGACCTTCTTGTAGTTCATCTTCAATTAAGCACCCAGACAACAGATGATACCTCTATTTCAGTATTTTGCAAAAGGGATTGCTGTGCTTAAACTGAAAAAAACCAAGGTGACTGCAGGCTAGACACATGCAATGCAAATAGTGGACGATTTTCCATCCTGTCCCCAACTCCACTTACAATGATGTTTCATGAACAAGTTTTTACAAGAATCCAATTGAAGACAAGCAAGTTCATCCATTTTTAAAGATATTGTTACAGTTCTTTTTAAATTTTCATTTTGTAAGCAAGAAATGTAACCAAATTAAATTAAGAGAGGTATAGAAGTTGATTTCCACCATGGCGAACATAAAGACATGCACATACACACACACAAAGACACATTAATATTTTAACATATATTGGTGTCTCATGTCATTCACATGAAATTAAGCAAAAAGATGAACCTGTGGTATTATGTGCTGCATAGCCCACTCAGGGCCAAATTCTTCAGCAAGGCGTTTCAGGTTGTTAGCAGCTGCTTCACGAATTGAATGAACCTAAAATAACTAAGGCTGTTAACAAAAATAGTCACATGCAATATGCCGTTCCCAAAATGCGCATGCATAAGCAAGGTAATGGAGAGCACAAACCTTATCCTGCAACCATTGCATGCAAAGAGCACCAAGCTTGTCATCAAAAAATCCAACCCCCAATTGACTTGCCAATAAGGGTATATATTCTATAATTGCAAGCCGGACCCTCCAATGCCTATCCTCAGCAAGCTCAACAATGGCTGGTAACAAAGATTGAGATAACAGATCAATTCCGATAACCTGCAAGAACAGATTGATTAAAATGTGTTTATATTCAGAGGTAAGAGAAAAAGGATGCCAAAAGAAATCTAGAGTATTCTGAAAATAAAAAAGTAACTAAATAAACATAAACTATAACAACCTGATTCACTTGATCGAGCTTGCTGATGATGTTTAGGCGCACATCAGGAAATTCATCCTTCAAAAGTGAAAGGAAAATAGGAAGAAGCTGCTCAATTGTTGCTTCCTGTAATGATGATAAGGTAGAACTGAGTTATTCAGGGAAAATATATAGGCTAAATTAATTTGTTAGTTCCTGAGTTATTTTGAATTTTTCAAATAAGTTGCTATTTCTTTAGAAGTTTGTAATTAGGTCCTGAACTTATAAATCATATTTAATTGGAACCAATAAGTTTAATATATTCACCAGTGGCACAATATGAGAAACAAACAAAGAATGACAAGTGAGACATTGATCACATTCATGAAGTTTATGACTTCAGGATACCCAGATCACTAAACCTTAGATTTGGTAGTAAGGCTCTTTCTTTTCTTCAATTCTGGTTGGGAGGATGGGGGATGATGAAGATTTTAAAAGTGACATCAACTACTGTACAAGTCAATCAAACCTGTAAAGGACACACTTCACTACATAATTATTTGAAATTTATGGCCTACACGCACAATTAGTCTCCATTATGAAAAGTGTGAAACATAATTTAGTACTCTATGACCCAAAACACCAAATGATGTCCTGAATCCTGAACTCAATTTAGGTGCACTATAATATGCATTTAGACCAATTTAACTTGGAAGAAATAGACATCCTCTTTTTTGCAAGTTTCTAACAGCTTTTGGGAGGGGAAAAGAGATATTTCCCAGGGAAATAATTTTTCCTCAAAGTTCCATAAAAGAAAATATTAATTAATTTGAATGGCCCCAACAGAAGCACATAACAGATTTCACTTTCATAATATGGATAATGCATATTCCTGTCTAATATGGATAATGCATATTCCTGTCTAGAGCATGATAACGGCAGAAACTGCTATTTGACACTTATACCTTTCCTAACACTGGAGCCATTCCCATTATTACTGAAGCTAAAGCAGAGCGGACATGCTGTGAAGAATCTGATGACAATTCCTGCAAAAGTAGTTCCAAAGAATTTAAACCTGTACATATAAATTTAGCATACTGAATTACACAACCAAAATCAAGGAAAGCCTCCAAACAGTAATTTTAACAAGTGTTAGAATTTCTTTTCCGAAGATTCATACCTTCACACAGGGAAGAATATGCTGAATTGAAAGATCTGGATTTAAAATCCGGCAAAATTTGGTCACTTTTCCAGCAGCTGCTATCCGTACTTCGGCCTCATTGTCTCGAAGTAATCGCACATAAGCAGGTACCAATTCCGTTCTTCACGAACAACAGTTAAAAAGTAAAATATTAAGAAAAATGGACATATTGCTTTGGCTCAAGAGTTTGACCTTAGTAAAACTAAGAGAAAATCAATATAGAAATTGTATGATTTAGATATCATATCATGATTAGATTTGGACCCTCTCTTCTTTATTGTCAACAGGAGAGTCGTGTTTAATAATCCTAAACATTTATTATATTTATTATTAAATCTAACAGTTTAAATAACAACCAATTAAAACTACAAAAAAATGGAGAACATGAGTGTCTACGTTAGTGGGATGATAGGTTGGTTAGTTTTTATTTCAACTTCATATATTAAGTAATCAACACTATAAATAATTAAAATTTATTAAACATGACTTCTCCTATTTATCATGATCAGGAGAGGATCGTGGTCCTATCATGAATATCCAAAACACAGCTAATGAACTGAGCGCATAACTCTTAATATAATATGTTCATGCAAAATATCAGTATCAGAGAAAGATATGCAGCACATGTAATATTCACCATAATAATAATAATAATAATAATAATAATAATACCTGGTAGGTTCAGGGCCCACAGCTTCACAAAGTTCATATAATTGATTTGCAACCATGTAACGCACCCGCCACGACTTATCCTACACAATGAAATTCAAAGCACACAAATAAATAGTGCTGTAAAGACATACAAATGCAGGGAAACTAAATAACTAAGGTTACATTTAGCTGTAGGGAATTGGAGATATAAAAGGGAAATAGAGATTTAAATTTTAATTTTATTTTAGCAAGGGTTTGGATGTTCAAATAAACATGAAAGAATTAAAAAGAACATGATTATAAACTTCCATAAATGTACTAATCCCTCCCTCCGTTTTACAAAATGTGTAGCTATAGTTACACGAGGAAACTGTTTTAATTTGCCTCTCACTTTAGCAAATCAGTACTATTATTAAGTTAAAACATCATTGGCATCATTACATACATCACTAACTTCCTGACATTGTGTGTGCGTGTATAGTTAGTTAGTTCCAATCATGTACCTGGGAGAAGTTAACAATAACAGGTAGTATATGTGCAACACAATCTTGTGGCTCCAACAGCTTGCCAAGAGCAGCACAGCCCTCCACAGCCAACAATCTGACAGAATCTTGATCTGATCCAAGATTACAATAGCACATTTAAGAAGTAAAGTACATTCAGATGACACTCTACAACAAAATCACACGGCCTATGTACTAGACCAAATGACAGACACTTTCTATTATAAAAAGAAGAAAACTGTGCATCTTCTTACCATCTTGAGTAAGATCCTCAAAAATTGACATGACATCAGCCTTCAAATGAGCATATTCAACAGTTGCAGCAAATTTACCAAGATTTGATGCAGCCGACCTTCTAACCATAGGCATGTCATCCTGACATAACTGACTGTATATTGATCTCAACTCTGTCTTTGATGTTTCTGGTGCACTAGGGTATGCAATATGAAATAGCCCACATGCAGAGACTCGGGCAGTAAACCATTCACCTGCTGCCAATCTCTGTAACAAAAAAAATCATAGCATGAATTGGACAGAATGTTCATCCAACATTTTCAACATAACCCATGGGAACTGGCAGGATAAATACAATACACCACAAATGACAAAGAAGTATTAATACACATGTGATCCAACAACATGTTATAAATTGTAGTCAAGTTGCAGAGTCAAATATCTAGCGTCCAAGTTAATTCAGATCCATTAACCAACCAATTCCTCATTAAGTATCAGGCCATTATAAATTTGTCAAATTCCCATGAAAAAAAAAAGTATAGTTAATATGATAATCAGAACTGCTTCAAGCCTCAAACCATAAGGGAAAAGGAAAAATATCAAGTAACGTTCATAATGGATTTCACATGCAGTAATAATAAAATCATTCATATTGATGAAAAAAATTAACTGACCTTCACCAATGGTATAAAATATTCAACCAAATCACTCTCCCTCATTTGAGATCCAATTCTACATAGCGATTCCACAGCTTTATCTCTTACACAGGTCTCCTCAACAGTGCAAAGTGTCTCTAGTGGTGGCAGCAACACACTGGCATGTTCCACTCCCCCAACGTAAGGAATGAAAACTCCCAACTCTTCTGCCATAGCAAGAAGTACCTCATCATCATCATCATTATTTTCACTCAAAAATGGAATTAACTCTCGACGGGTTCGCTCCTCCCCAAGTGCACGAGCAATTGTTGATAGCCTGCGAATCGAGTTTAACCGCAGCTGAATGTCATCATTTTTCAACTCATCTATAAGCACTGCTATCGGATATAGTGGTTCGTCAGCCATAGACATTTTGCTTAGTTCCCAATATTTCTGGCAGAATCAGCATATTGGTCAAGCCGATAGAAAAACAAACAAAACCATAATATAATTAGAAAATAAATGTACAATTACACCGAACAGAAAACACTACTAAATCAACACACCAGCATAAATTAAATATATATAAATCATTAAAACTTACATACTTCCAACTTGGAACTCCATCTACAATAGCTAATTTCTTACACATCACTTAGCTCGTTTCTTTCAGCTTTAGTTAAAGTAATGCATGTAAAACCAAATCAAGAGTTTAACAGCAGGCAAGTAGCAACTGCAAGTTCAAATTGCATGTGTAGTGTGCACGCGTCCGTGCAAAACTACAGGATTGACTTGAATTTAGTTGTGATCCTCCAACTTAAAAGACACGTATGCGACATCTAAGACATTTCAAAAGTTCATAAAATCGAACAATTGAAAATCCGATATCAAAATATGTAGTCGAAAAATAGAAAGTAAAAGACATACTGTGCCACATCAGTAAAGAAAGGGCAAAATATTGTACCTTGTTGCGTGCAACTGTCAGTATCTTTCGACTTCACGAGCTACCGAAACGCCAAGATGGAGAATCTGTGACCTTCTTCTAGTAAATCGTTGGATACAGTTGAAAACAAAATTTAAAAAGCATTACTGCTAGGGGCTACACATGGACACCGGAAACCCTAAGAACATTGAAGAAAGAGGAAGAAGACGATAGAGGGAAGCAACGTTGTGGTCACACACAGAAATGGTAGTCGAATCACCTAGGCTGGTTGAGTTAACGTTAAAACGCTGCGTTCAACACTTGGACGCGTTTTTTTTTTTTTACCTTACTTTCTTTTCTAATTTTGTTTAAATATTCCACCCAATTTTGTTCATATTTTAGAGAAAAAAATATATTTGAATTTAATTTTTTAATATTAAATATTATCTTTAATATAAATAGCGTGAAATTATTTTTTTAAAATAGAGATTAAAGTATCTGGGTAAAATATTAATTATTTCAATTGAAATAATTTTATTAGAACAACTTTAGATGATACCATGAGTTGTTCAAAACTTTTGCAATTTGATTCTGTACTTAAAAAAATCAATTGAAAATACATAAATAAATAAATATTTAAAATTACTTTTTAAAAAACTTTATTAAATAAGAATTCATATCAAAAAAGTGCTTTTATTCTAAGTAATTATGGTAAGTAACTTTTTGCAAAATATGTTTGAAACAAAACTTAACGTATTATATAGGAGACCTCACATTTTATATTTTAATACTAAACCAATTGATATAAATTATTTCATTGGTTTTATTTTATCAATATTTTAACTGTACTGATTTGTAAGATTTTGGTTTTATAAAATCTAAAGTATTAATTATATTTTGTATTTATGTGAAAAATGTTAAAAACACAAAACACAAAGTAATAGATAATTAGAGTATGTTAATTATAGTATTTTGTTTGTATAATAAATAGAAGAAAAAAATAGAAATAAGTAGAGTGGCAAGAAATGTGTCATTTGAAAAAAAAAAGAATAAAAAAATATTTAAATGAGTAAACGAATAGATAATAATAAATCCACGAATAGATACTAATAAATCCACTGTATAAAATAAAAGTATACTAATCTAAAATTGAATTTTTCTTCTGTTTTATCTCCTAAAGCTAAAAAAGTTCCTTCTTACTTAAATATTCGTTTACCTAATTTGATCAAAATTATAGATTTGGTTCAGTAATTCATAATCATTTTTAACACTTAACATACAAGTTACTTAACTAAACATTGAATTTTGATTTGAATTTTTCTTAATACAATATATTGTATTACGATTTGTCAAAACAACAACAACAAAACTTATACGCGATGCATGAAATCAAGTTATTTTTATGTTAGAGTAAAAACAATTTCATTGGCATTCATTTTTTTTAAACATTAACTTTTTGTTATAATCTTTTAATAATATAAAATAAGTTATCTTCTTAACTCTAATTTCCTTACAAGATCAAGATTAAAAAATTACACATAATTAATTATTTCATTTAATTTTTTTTAGATGAAACTTTTAAAATAATTATTATTATTTATGACTAGATGACAATCTAAAACAATTAGGCCCTGAATTTTGACTAAATTCTACTTTCTTTTGTAATGGTGTTCACATACTTACATTAATGCTACAAAATATTTGATTGTCAGGGAAAAGTTATGCATCACTTTGATGAATCCTTATTACAAGTGTTTGTTTAAATTTCCGCCCGTGATCTTGGTTTCATTTTGTCTTCCTGCAGAACCTTTCCCATGCTCATGTATAATCTTTGTACATAGAAGCTCATGTTGCAGAATTTTTCAGTAGATTGAAGAGACACCTTTGCAAGCTAAAACAAATCAGTGATGGTTATTTATAAATCATACAGGGTATAGAAAGATGAGATATTTTGGAGATTGTGAATTTGAATCCTCCCACAAGAATGCAGCTTCAGCTTCAAAGTTATTTTTTTAAAAGTGAAACAAAATATCGTTGTTTGACATCTTTTATAAAGTCCAATCTATAACACAAGGAGACTGTAACTCCTACTTCAATACCGGTTGTTCAACTTCAAAAGGGTCCTTAAAATTAGCCTTCTCACTGAGATCTTGAAATTCATCCACGAGATTTTGAAGCCTCGCAACAAACTCGATTAAGTTTGAAGCAAATGTTGCCAAAGACAAGGAGCTTGCACTTTCATACACTTTGGATTCGTGTTCATTTACGATTCCATCTGGGAAAAAAGAGAAATGTGAACGCCCCATGACGCTCTTGGTCGTAGTGTATGGAAGATAGGATTCTGGCATGGAAGGTTCTATTCTTATGTTGAGTTTTGGATCATCCCCAATATCATTGAGGGAAGTGATCTCGGGTTGCTTGTTCTCACTGTCTTTAAAGTCCATCAAATTTTCATCTTCTTTTTCCTTGCGCAGTCTTGCAGCTTCCCAACTCTCATAATTGACTAGGAGGAATGACAATCGGTCAATCTTCATCTGCAATTGTTCAGCTGCATCATGAACATCGAGGAGAATCTCACTGCCGCTTAGCCTTTCCATCCTTTCCACTTTGCTTCCGAGTGTTCGCAATACTTTAGCTCCTTCAATACCAACCTTCTGAAGCTCTTCAAAGAAAACCAGCCTCTTCTCTGGAGGCGACTATGACAAAAACAATATATATAAAAATAAATAACGTGCATTAAGATCTATCCAATCACAACTTATTATGAATTATAACCAAAACTTCATATATGCAAAATCCTATTTTCCCCCTAGAGTGACAAGGTAACATAAAACAATAACATAAATACAAATCATAGAAGGAAATACCTGTATTTCTGAAAGTATGCATCCATGCATTGCCATGACCATGAAAGCACAATGCCTCAATGCTCCACTGACTTTGACGTAGCTTCTCCAAGGATAATTGAACATCTTGTATGGACCATGAGGTGGTTCCCATAATGCAAAATCTACCTACAAGAGCAAAAAACTACTTGTACAATGGACACTATAGTTTTAGTATGAAGTCTTGGAAGAAGGGATACCAGAGTCTCCTCTTGGGTTGACGATTGCACTGCTGTTCTATAACCACGGTAAAGAGGGTCATCAGAGGCTTGATAAACTAGTATTTTGGATGGGACCCTCTCATATTCAACGCATTGCAGGTACCCATTTACACAACCTAAACCAAGTACCACAGGAACCAACCTAGAAAGTCAGCAGCAAGAACAAACTAAAAAATTGTGGAACCAACACAAAGAACACAGACGAATCCAATGAAAGTGTCACGACAAGCATTTAAAACCCTTATTAACTATCACAACTTGAAAAGTACTAAGCAAAAACTACACTTATATAAGTTCCTAATAATTAGCATAAAAATTTCTTAAAATTTCATTCTATTGCAGACAGTGATTTATGGCTAGACAGTTGAGTTTGTAGAAGTCATGTTTATTTTGGTATATTGTTTAGCTTTAAAGTAATATCTAAAGTTATTTTTAATTAGTTGATAATGTAAACGTGCACGAAATTAAAAGGGATGAAAACCTTCTAAAGATGTGGCAACTCCATTGAAATTTTTTACCACCAATTTGTGCAGATCCTCCCCAGACCAGATGGGATAAATGCAAATATTCACAGACAAACTTACACCAGCACCTATACCGATTAGAAGCAATCTGTAAAATGCTGTTGAGAAAAATTGCAACCCGTGTCTCCCAGACACTAGCACGATGCAAAATGTCAACAAGAATACACGAAAGCCATATTCATATTGCTTCATCGCAGGGTACAGCCTCACATAGCTCGCACAAAATCCTGCACACCACAACAACACAGTCATGCGAGACACACATATATCTCACCGTCATCATTCATGAACGACTAAAGTAAAATGCTTTTGCAAAAACAAAAGAGTAAAGAAAGCTTTCCAACCAGCTATAAAAATAGAGATCACAATAATAAGCTCCTCACAAGTTCGACCAACCAACACGGATAGTTGTGCAATACCCAAAGCAAGCAACCCAGCAGAAAATGTTCCCAAAGCACGATTGAAACCTTTGTTCAGGGTCGCACCTAAACTCCCACATTACCACAACAATAAAAAGAAAAGGAAAAAAAGTTAATATATCCATTAAGCGACATGATTAAAGGCCAAAATGAATTTTTTTTATATAGCCCCACCTGTTAATTGTTCAACCAATTTTTACGAGTTAAGTAATTAATAAAACTCATCAAGTAGAGATTGGTTGAGACTATAAATACAGGCCTCACCATACAATAATTTATTACAAAACTATAGAATATATCACGAAGATTGAATATACCACTTGTTTTTAATTTTGACCAATTTTCATGGTAGATTGTATCTAGTAGTAGTGTTTTTCAACACACGAAAAAAGGGTTTATAAATTTGGTTACATAGCACATGGATATTAATCAGAATCATGGTACAATACGAAATTTTCTTTTAAAACTCATTCTGGTATGATGTAACAATGTATGGAATACCTATGCTGAATTCGAAAACGACAACAACAGTGAGAATTGCCCAGACAGAGTACTTGCTAAATTGCTTCTCCTCAATGTAAATGACAAGCGAGACAATGGCTAAGGATAAGCCAGCTTTGATCGCAAAAACGACTTTGCGTCGATCATTGCGACCCATCTGGTACAATTTGAAGGCAGCGTCTTTGGACCATTTGTGGAGGCCAACGACGCGATTAGAGAGAGCGTCGAGGAAGGACCGATTGGAGAGGTCATTGCTGTCGTCGTGGAGCTCAGCAAAGTCCTTTTTGGAGAGGAGCCTCTCTTTGCTCTTCTCTAGGAAACTATGTCTGAATGACCCCACTCGTGCGTTCAACCTCTCAGAATGCGGAATCTTTTTCATTGCGAAGGAGGAAACAATGATGATAGTGATGAGGTAGAGAGCATTTCTGAATGGAACAGAGGACGAGAATTGAAGGAGAGAGAACGAAGGGAGTGTTGCCTGTGGGTGTGGCGAAGCGAAGGAAAAGCACATGAACCCGCCAAGTGACACCCTTCTTCCGTCATTGTTATTTTTGGAAAATAACAAGACAACATACGTTATCTTTTGAAACCGTCTTCGATTTTTATTTTTACCTTGATATTTCCAAAAAAAAAATAAAAAATTTGGATGACGTTGATTACTGCTATGTACTTAATTTTAATAGTAATGGTTGATCCACGTTTCATTGTTATGAATACGTTATTGACTCTTATTTGAAGAGTACATTTGTTCTTTTTTAATTCATATCGAACAAAGTCTAAAATTACCTTGCTTGCTGCAATGATAATTTGGTTTTTCAATATTATTTTAATATAGTTTACTCTTTAATCCAAATTAACATGGTCCATTATATTTTCTTTCTCTTTATTTTTGTACAGTGAACAATCAACAAGTTAGATCTTGTTAGGTTTTAACTACATAATAAGAGTAAATAGGGTCTCAATTCTTCATTTATATTTTTGTTCCTAAGACTTAATTATAAAATTTGAAACAGTTAAAATTGATTGAAACGTCAAAGAAACTTGAGGTCAAGTCATGAAATTAAAACTTTTTTCTTCTTTTGGTGGTCGAATCACGAGAAACTTGCAGACTTTGGTATAAAGGGATCTAGTTGAAGTGAAGAACTGGAACAGCATAATCAAGTTGATGGTTGGAAAGAAAATGTTAAGGACCACAAAATCTGTGCACGAGAGTATATGAGTTGGACATACACTATTCGACTACACCACAAATTTCTCGAATAAATTTGGATCTAAAATCATTTTTGGCAGACCAGAGAGGCTCTATTGAAAGGATTACACCATTCACGAATGTTATTATGAAACACGTAATTAGAAAATGATAAAAGATTGTTTGAGACCCAATCTCAAAAAATATCCATTCAATAATTTGATTTATTAATAAAATAATCATTTTTAATTAATTTCATTTTAAATCAATCATTTTATAAATATAATATTAGTAAAAAAAGTTATATAATAATATTTTTGTTTATATCAAAATATTACCATTTTAAACTAAACTTTATTTTCACATTTCAGCGTTCACTTAAACATAGGGTTGTATATTGGTTGTATTATTTAACTATAGATATACTTCATTCTTATATTTGTACTATCTTTCTTGTCCCTATATTAATGGTTTATCTTGTACGTGTGATGTGTTAAAATATTTAATTTAATTAAAGAACCAAATATCTCTTTAATGGGAATGGTAGAGTTGGAAAAAAGATTTATAAAAGAAGAAGAAACAATAAATTATAACAAAAGTAGTGGAGATAAAAAATAAAATTAAAGTAGCTCGTAGAAACAAGTAAAACTACTATTCAAATAAGCTTCATACCAAATAGATTTCTTTTAGTCAAATTAATTTAGAAATTAGTCAAAAATACGCTTTTAGTGTTACTTTTAATTTTAACCCAAAAATTTATATTTATTTATCTATTGCAATTGATTAACATCATTTACGATTTTTGCATTGAGTATTAAAAACTTAAATTTCGACATTAACCATTTTTATTGAATAATTATAAATAATATAATATATATAATGGTTAAAACATGTTTTAAAAAAAATAATAAAGAGAATAGAGTAAAATTAATAAACATAAGTAAATGAGAAAATAAAATAAGATAGAGAACGTGGACTTTTCGTGTTGGATATACTTTAATAACGTCATATCCTAAAAATTTGATAAAAGAATGAAAATGAAAAATGTTTGATTAAAATTTCAACGAAGAGTTTATTAAAAAAATTAATATGGGGTGTATGAATATAATTTTAAATGATTTTTTCATATTTTTAATTAATTTACTTAACATAGGAATAAACATTTATCAAATTTATGTACAGATAGAAATATTTAATATTTAAAATGACAGTCACTCTTAAAATAACTCACTTTTATTAATATAATAAATTATTAAATGATTTAATAAAAAGAAATTAAAATTATTATTATTATAATATTAAAAGAGAATTATTTAACATATTTTTGAATTTGGGTGGTTAAAATATTATTTTCCTAATTAGAAATAAAAACCCATAAATGTACTTGAGTAGCATGCTATATGCTATGTGTTTACCCTAATGGGGGACAGAAGGCAAAAGTAACAAATATGACTGGTTACAAAAAAAGTTTTATACTGATGAAGAGTTATATAACAAACAACAGATTCAAACTGTCTTATGGAGAAATCATACATGCAGTAAACTGTATATATTCGAAGTAGAAAGAAAGACAAATGCATCTTAGAAATTAAGCAGAAGCCAAGTGCTGGTTGTGACCCAAATCATTGTGTCCTAATTGGATGGAACAACACAGTGGAGTGGTTGGCAATGTGCAAGCTGAATTGTCCTCCTTTTTCACTCACATCTATCTTTGTCCCTTCTGGAGCACTCAGCTCAAAATTTGACACCAACTTTGCAATCACAAGTCCAAGTATTGGTAAAGCAAGTATGATTCCAGGACAGCTCCTCCTTCCCACACCAAATGGCACGAACCTAAAATCAACCTTTCCTCCTGCAACAGCATCTGTTGCACACTCCTCTTCCAAAAACCTTTCTGGTCTAAACTCCTCTGGATTCTTCCACCATGTTGGGTTGTTGGCAAGCCACCAAGCATTTACCACCACCTTGGACTCTTTTGGAATAGTGTAAACTCCTAATTTTGCTTCTTCCAGGTTCATGTGGGGCACCAAAAGAGGAATTGGGGTGTGAAGTCTCAGTGTTTCTTTCACAGTGGCCTGTAGGTATGGTAGCTCGTGTAGGTTGGATTCTGTCACTGGCTCCCCTATAAGGACCTTTGATATTTCATCACGAATCTTGTTTTGCACTCTTGGATGATTGACCAACTCTGCTATTGCCCACTCCATGGACCATAATGTTGTCTCAATTGCTGCAACATTGATGTTTTCTACTATATAGATCACATTCTCTTCACTGATTTCTCCCTTCATCTGAGCATCTATAATGTGATCGATTGCACAACTGATCTTGTGCTTCTTCCCATTGGCAGCCATTATTTGTCTGCAGAGCAATTTACCAACAAATACTCACGTTGTAAACAAAATATAAAGGGTCTACATTTTTTTCAAATTGAATTAAAATTAAATATGACCAGTCACGTTGGCTACAAAAGAATAAAAGCTATACTTGAACGGATGAAATTTAGATTAGTTAAATACACACCTAGGGTAAGGCCAAGAAAGTTCATTGACTTCAGCTTACATATCACCTTTTTGGAAAAAGAAAAATTGAAGATCAAATCTAAGTTTCAACAACTAGTGTGAACAGAAAACTTGACCATATATGTCAAACATGTTTGACGTAGTATCAAAGTATTTATCTTGAAGAATTTTATAATAATTTATTTAAATATGATTGATGTTGTATCGTTGGGAGGGTAAAATCACCATTTATTTCCTATATCAAAACTTCATATCATAAATATAAATTACCTTCTTTTCTCAACATAGTGGGTGTTGAAAAATTCAAGCCTCCTAGATTGCAAGTCCTTGCACTTGTTGAGATATCCCCTTAAGAATGGCCTGAGCAATGGTATAAAATCCCCATAATTGTATTCAAAACTCTGTGCCAAACGACTTCTCTCAGAGTTAAACCTCGTGGCCTGGATGAACAAAGGGTCCTCTTGAGACTCGAACTTGGCGTCAAACATCATCCTATACATGATATTGTACAGCATCAACTGAAGCCGCTTTCTGATAACAATCCCTTCGCTCCTCACTCTCTCATTCACGCTGAGATCACGCACCACCAAGTCCATCTCCTCCTCCCACATATTGCTGTAGTTGTGGACAACCTTGTTGGTGAAGAATGGCAGCGTCATGATTCTGCGCATCTTGCGCCAGTGATCACCGTAAACAGTGAAAACCATGTCTTGACCGTTCCCGGTAAAGATATCAAACACAACGTTTCGTGGGCGCGAGCCAAATTCCACACCTTGTGAATGGAGCACTTGGGTGGCAAGCTCGGGATCAGAGACCACAACCAAGTTTTTAGAACCTAGTTTGAGTAGAAACACGGGACCGTAGGTTTGTGACATTGATGCTAAAAGACGGTGGTTGAGATCATTGCCAACTTGTAACCAGTTACCAAATATAGGAACAGATAAAGGACCCGGGGGAGTGGAAGAGTGGTTTTTAGAAGTTGAGGAAAATTTGGATATGATTAGAATAAAAATGATGGTGGCAATAGAAATGAAAACATAGGATGGTGAAAATGGTAAGATAAAATAAGGATGCAAGAGTTTTGTTATTGAAATAAGTGATATTGTTACAAGGGTGGAAAAGAGTGTTTTCTTGATTTGAAGACCCATTTTTGTGTTTGTGCAATTATTTGGGAGGGAAAGGTGGCTAGGATTTAACTGAATGGATGAGTGAGGTAATTAGAGTAGAAACATGTTTATATAATGGTGGTGACGAGGTTGGTGACGAGGTTGGTGACCATGGTTTGTGATGAAATCCACGGGCTGTGTTGAGAGTATTTTTCAAAACAGGGTAGGAGAATGAGATGTGATTGGTGAGTAAACTACTTTTTGAAGTCAAAATCCGTTTATGGTGCGTTTGGTCAAGCCAAGACACCCGTTGCTGAATAAAATATGCATTGTCCAAATAAACACCTAATATGTATATCAAATTTGTTATTTTTTTATTACAGGAATATGTAATTTGTTAATTTATTACATTTTTGGTCGTTTTCACTCAGTTGCATGTCGTGTTTTTTTTTTTTTCTGAAGTACTTTCCTTTCGGTCAATTTTGGTATATGATAAAACAGTAATATTAATTTGGCATTCCTTTTTTTATATATTACTCTAAATTAATGATAAAAAAAATGAGGAGAATTTTGCTACTGATTTTTTCTTTGCTGCTTTTTTAATAAAAAAAAACTGATATGGAGATTGTATAAAAATTAAGGGATGTAATCCCATGTAAAATCACCGCAACAGCAAAGCAAAGTTTTTTTTGTAGGTTTGTTAGATACATCAAACGATGTCGTTGATTGTCGTCAATTGTGTAATGTGAGACCAACCATAGAACAAATATAAGCTGAACAAATTTATAAAATAACTATATTAGAAAACATAATTCTATGAAAAAAACGTTGTTAATTAAATTATTTCTATATAAAATCTCTATTCATAAAATACTTATGTTGTGTTGAGTGTATATTTGATTGATATATTATTTTTTATATTAAGAATATAATCACTTATGCTTAAAATAAAATACATATTTAATCAATTAAAATGTTATTTAAAAATTATGGTAATTAATTCATTTCAATTAGTATTATTTTCAGTATTGTGTAATTTTTATTAATATACAAATTAAATTTTATTAAATATTTCTCGATGATGTAAAGTGTTTAGAAATGATAGTTAATGTCAATATTTTTATTGTGAGAATGTTTCATATGAATGTTGTGAGAATGTTTCATATGACTGCAGATTATACCTGTGTTACTGACAAATTTATAAATACAGTAAAAAAGTATTTAAGTTAAAAAGATAAAAATTAATATCAATAATAGAAATTTGATATCAACATGTTAAAAAATTGAGAGAGTGAAAACGAGTTTGAGAGTTAAAAGATTAAAAAGAGTGAAATTTAGAGGGAGATGATAAAAAATTAAGATTTAAATGGTAAGAAATTGAGAGAGTAAAAATCAAAATAATGAAAATCAAGATTTAAGTGATTGAAAATTGAGAGTATAAGTAATTGATAAATAAAATCAAATCAAATAAGTGATCGAGCTATACAAATCGAATAATAATATAAATTAAGCTTTCATAACATCAAAAGAGCAATTGAGACAAAAGTAAAGTAGTCAAGAGGTATCGAAGATAAAAAAAATTAAAGGAGTATCATAGCTAAAAAAATAATCGATAAACAAGTGACAAAAAGTGAAACATATTTTAAAAAGTAAATAATTGACTTTGAGAAATTAAGGAAAACCAGAGAGACATAGAAAAAAAACTTATCTAGATAAAAGACTTTGAAGAATAGAGAAATACAATATGTTTATCAAAAAAGATAAAAGGATCGAGGAACAATGATGTAATCGAATAAGACAACCGATAAAGAGAAGTTACATAATTAAAATGCATTGAAAAGACTTGTGTAGATAAAGGACTTTGAAGAATAGAGAAATACAAGATATTTATAAAAAAAGATAAAGGGATCGACGATCAATGATGTAATCGAATAAGATAAAAGATAGAGAGAAGTTATATAATTAAAATGTATTGAAAAGTTTTTATAACCCACTACATGATATTGAGAATTACTGATACTATTTGTCAATGAAACTACTAGACAAACAAAGGAGGGAAACAATTATAGAAAAAGAAACTTGTTTATGTTTTATTTTATTCTGAATTTTATTTTTAATTCTCATAATAGTTATACAAAATAATGTATAAATAGAATGAAATAAGTATAATTAAGTATGACAAATTGAAAAAAATATATTTTAAAAGTATATCATGGACAATAAAATATTATTTCAATGAAGTTCTTAATAATTTGAATTACTTACTTTCATTAAATTTTTATATTAATTTCAATTTTATCATTAATAAAAAGTTAGATTCACTTATTCTGCTGTTTATCTTTATCATATATTTACTTTTTCTATAATTTATCTTATTTGCATGTTTATCTTTTTTGCACTTTAGTTTGAATGTTAAAATTTATATATAGTTAAAATCAAATTGATATTCAAAATATCACTCATAAAAGTTCTCATTGTATTAATTATTAAATGATCAAAGTAAGTGAATGTGATCAAAGTATAATTTAAACAATTCTACAAATTAAAAAGTGTTTACTTACTAATCTAAATTAAAAGAACCTACTAATGATAAACTAATTAATCTCATAATATTAATTAATTTTTTTTAAATAACACGTTTAAATAAGAAAATCAAATAGCAAATCAATTTGAAGAAAAAAAAATTTATATATATATATATGACCTAATTTTAAAGATTTTTCATTAAAATATATTTTTTAAATCACCTTATTTCATATCTATGTATAAGAATTAAAGTAAACAAAATGGTGTTTTTCGCATAATTGTCTACATAAGTAATACTATTTTGGAACGCGTTTAAAATAAGAAAAATCAATGGATAAATGTTTTAATTGTTGATTGAATTTATAGCAATACTGTAAAATACTTAATTTAACAATCTTACACTTTTATGTAAAATGTTCATACATGTGTGAAATTATAAGCTCCACAAAATTGAGAGAAAAAAATATCGTTAGAGAATTTATAACAATAGTATTATTGTAAATAAATAAATAAATCTCGATTATATGTAAATTTAAAATGCTCATGTTTAAAAGAATGTGAATATGAAAATTAAAAAACTTGAAATTAAACATGTACTATACGAAGGGAGGGCAGAACTAAGATACGGGATGAGGTGAGATAAGATAACTTTAAAAAGAATATAAGTATTGTTATAATACTCAATAATCTGATTAACATACATAATATTGAAATGAGAATTTAATCTGATTAACATGTGATTTAAATCGACTTGATCGTTTTACATTTAAAAAGATATTGTTTTTATATAGAGTAGTTAGTAAAATAAAAAGAAGAAGTCAGTTGACCTATCTTTAACTTTCCACTTAAAGTTTTGTTTTTTTTAGAAAATGCAAAGATCCACTAATTAGCATAAGACAGTATGACATTTAAGTCAGTTGTTTAATAAAAGAGTGATATACTTTAAAATAAGTTATGAGGTAAAGTTTCACTTCTTTAATTAAATCCTTTATATAGTATTTAAATGATAATAATAAATCAAAATATAATAATTGATAATTAATAAGATAATAACGTAAATAAGATATTATAATAAAATTAAGATAATTAATTATAATATAAAACTGTATCTTTAATGGATTTTGGCTTCTCATCACAATTATTCCACCAATAACATGATTTGGACCATTATAATTAAAAAATAGAAAACATTTTTATTTTAATAACATTAATATGTATTTAATATATATTTCAAATTATTATATTTAAAATTTTATTTATTTTATATATAATAAAATATAAACCCAACATAAACAAGACTAAATATCATCAAATACTGTTAACGTAATTTAGTGGAATATCATTATCTTTCACGCAAGGAAAACTATAACATATGTTTTTTAACACATAGAAATTGTGAATGAAACATCAATATTATTTTTTTACTTTGAAGTAGATATACACGAGTACAAATTTACTAATGAAAAAAAAATAATATATATATATATGTAATTATTTTTAATAAGAATATGAAATAATATTTAGTCAAATACATAATAGATTACCTATATTTAACTAGATTTGCAAATTTTGATTGAAAAAACATGAAAGCTCGATCAAAATAAATAAATTGTCAATTAAACCATTATTGTAAAAAACAAAGCAAACCAACCATAACCATTTAGAATAAGATTTGCACCATATCGTAACTAACATAAATTTGCATTTGTAAGAGTGAAATGATTTGAAATTTGAATTCAATTTTAGTTTTGGTAATAGAGAGATTACATCATGGTTAAGTCTGTCTTGCTAACAGTGTCTTGGTAGTTTTAGTCTACTTTGACCGTTTTGCTTAATTCTTTGTTTAAAAAATATATTTATATATTAAAATTAAAATTTATATATATTTTTTATATTATTAAAATATTTAAATATAATATTATAATTTAAATTATAAAAATTAATCACTTAAATGATTAATTATAATTAGTTATTTTAATACATATTTTTTTAAAATTTATCTAAATAAAATTAATTAATAAATACAAATTAAAAAATTATTTAAATAATTAAAGATATATTTTTAAAAATATATATAAAAAAAATTATTAAGGGGTTCGTTAGTTCATCAACTCGCCTTTTGATGAAATAAATTAGAATATGTAACCCGTCTTGATTATGACAAAACAATTTACCCTATCTCATTTCTTGCGCATTAGAGACAAAACGACGAGCTTTTGTACATTCATTTATATATTATCTAA